TCAGAGTTGAGGCTTTTATGTCCTATAGCAAGGGTTTTCAGGTTCCTTTACATAATGCAGGCTTTCTTGAGCATGCTCTATAAGTTACATGTAGTTCTACATATAACTTCATTCATCATATGCATGTATCATTAGCATCTTTAATCACCATCCAGGGGTGTGCACTTTAGTATTAGAGATTAGAGATCACCTTTGGACAGGACACCCTGGAGTGCCTTTGCACCCACAAGGGTGGTTCCAGCCTGTTCTCCAGGCCTCAGTGGCAGGGATGGTGGGGTCCTGTTCCAACCTTCTTTTACAACTGTTTTTTTTCTCTCTTGTCTTAACTTTGCAGATTTGTGTCAGGCCCTCCAGACCTCACTCTGTGATCTACCTCTCCTGCCTCACAGAAAATATTAAGAAAAACCAGACAACAGAATCTGTCTTTGAGAGAGACTAAAAGTCAGACTTCAAGAAAGTGTTAGACCCCACCCCATAGCCATGCTCATGCAAGCAACCCCAACTAAATGTGGGCCACATACACAAATGCATGAGTATAGGAGGGGAACCTGTTGGGAACGAGAAGGGGCTCAGTGGGAAGGGGAGGGAGACAAGAGGAAAATGGGGGGAATATGATCAGGGTACATTATATGTATGAGATTGTGAAAAATAATTTGAAAAATTGTTAAAAGAATGTATAAATATATTGAAAGAACCAAGGGAAACCATTGTCTCTGGACTCGGTTTAGACTTTCCTTCCCCACCCCAAGACTTTGTGATCTCTGTGAGAATTCAGATAAGACACACAGTGTACTGTGGAAGACAGGTAGCATTTATTGCAGGGCAGGGCAGACTCTCAAAGCGTGAGAACAGTAGCCAGAGAGATCATGCCTATGGGAAGGGACGATGCCAGTTTTATATAGTTATCCATTAATGACCTTCTTGGAAGTTCATGATGTCATGTTCCCCTCCAGGGCCAGAGATAGGATGTGGGTTCCATTCTTGTGACCTGTAACTAGAGTTATGAGTTTTAGTTTTTTGATTATGAGGAGTCCAGCCGCAATATCCTCCAAGCCTGCTAATGTCTTGCTACCTAACTCCATGGTTAAGGAATTAAAGGAAGGTATGGGGACAGGGTTTCATCCAATATAGAATATTAACAGGATATGTTAATTATCAACATCAGTCATCAAAGGAAAATTTTTAAGTCAAAAAATACCATGCCTCTATCAGCTTGCTTCCTTTTGCTATGATAGAACACTAATGAAAAGGGAGGAAAGGTCTTTCACATTTCAGGCCATCATTGAGGAAAATCATGCAGGAACTCCAGCACAGCAGGCTCTGGAGGCCAGAGCTGAAGCACAGACTGGAGAAGCGCTGCTTACTGGCCTGCTTCTCAGGCCTGTGCTCAGCCTACGTTCTTTTACTACCCAGAACTACTTGCCCAGGGCTGGCACTACCCATAGTGGACTGGGCCCTTCCACACCACTCAACAATCAAAAAAAAAAGCCTCACAGACATGCCCACAGGTCAATCCCATAGAGGAATTTCCTCAGCTGTCGGTCCTGATTCCCAGATGTGTCAAACTGACAACTGTAGCCAACCATGAAAAATTCACTGGAGGGATTTGAGCTGACCAAAAACAAAACAAAACAAAACAAAACAAAACAAAAAGAACTACAAACCACACCTGAAGATAAATCAATAGAAATTATTCAGTCTGGAAAACAGAAAGGAAAAAAGAAAAACAAATAGTACCTCCAAGACTCTCCAAGATTCATAAAATGTCATGAAATGAACCAATACACCAACATGCATGTAAGGGAAGGTGTGACAAAACAGGAAAGACAGGGGGGTGTGGAGAAAACATTCAAAAGAGTGACAGCTGCAAAGGTATTGATCTACACAGTCAAGAAACTCCCCAGATGCCACATAACAGGACAAAAGCAAAGGCTCCTCACAGGGAAAAGAAAACCTGCCGAAAGCAGAAAACAAACCAGAAACTTCAAGGGGATCCCAGCCAGTTCAAAGGATGTCCTGTCATCAGCAACCAGTGGGGCAGCACAGCATGTCTAGAGAACTGAAGCAAATCTATCAACCAAGAGTCAGGACCCAGAAAACCCACCTTCCACAAATGACAATGAATAAACAGGCAAGCCCCAAACAGGCAATGTTTTACTGGTACAGCTGATCTGTTAAAAAAAAAAAAAGACCAAAGGAAGTTCTTCACATTGAGAATGAATGATATCAGGCAGCAATCTGTGTCTATACGAAAACACAAAGCATGTCAGCAAAAATAATTATGTAGGTAACTGCAAGAGTGTGATTTGTTAGTTCTTCTTCTGCCTGATTTAAAAATCAATTGCATAAAACAATACATATGTAGTTGTATCATTAGGGTTATAAGGATACAGAAATATACTTAATCACGGTATGATTGGACCCTTAGTTTTATTACATAATATGGAGACCAGAAGTACCTTGTTTAACACCCAATTTTAAGGGGAGTATGGAAATACTTAAGGGGAACAACATTGGCTTTGGAGTCTGCACAGAGTCCTTGCTTTGGGGTACAGTACAGTTATCAATTAACAGGAACGTTAAAGATTTTATTTTATTTTTTAAAATATTTTATTTATTGTTTTTATGTGTGTGTGTGTATTGCCTGCATGTAAATAAATGCACTTGTGTCATGCAACACCTGCAGAGGTCAGAAGAGGCTGTCAGAATCCCTTGGAACTGGAGTTACTTACGGACAGTTGTTAGCTGCCATGTGGGTGCTGGGATTTGAACCAGGGTCTTCTTCAAGAACAGCCAGTGTTCTTAACCTCTAAGCCATCTCTCCATCCCCAAAGATTTTATTTTATTTTTAATTATCTATATGTTTCTGTGTGTAGGTATGTGCACATGAGTGCAGGTTTCATTCAGTGTGGGTGCTGGAAACTGAATTCAGGTTCTCTGCAAGAGTGGTACTTGTTCTTAACTGCTGATCCATCTCTTTAGCCTCTTCCCCAACTTCCTTTTTTGAGACAGGTCTCTTATAGCCTAGGCTGGCCTCAAACTTACTATGAACCTGGGTTTTGAACTCCTAATCCTTCTGCCTCACCTGCTGAAAGATGGGATTACAGGTGTGTGTTAGCATACCTGGCTTCAGCAGGAATACTTTCTGAGGAATGTATTATTAAGTGATTGCCTCATTGCACAAATGTCAGTGCTGGGTCTTCAAGTCAAGGCCTTAGAAATTTCTCCATATTCGCTGTGGGAGGTTGCTGCCCCCGTGACATGGCACACTGCTTTATGGTAACCTTTAATAATAAGAGGAGTATATTCTAAAATAGTGACAAAAGTATCCTATAGTAAGTACATAAGCCAGTAAAATCAGCATTTGATGTCACTACAAGTATTACATGCTGACCATAATTGCATATGCTATGCTGTTATCCAGTGGACAGCACTATAAGTTTATTTGTTTCTTTGTATTATCAAGGAACAGACCTTTGCTTATGTTTGTAGGTGATGCTGTTGCAAAAAACAACATTTTCTGCTGGTCTTTCATGAAAGGTTGTACATGGCGTCCATTGTTGACTGAAGCATCATCGTGTGATACATATCTAGGCTGAGCAGTTTGAACTTCTATATGCTGCTAACTTTGCTGAGACAGCATCTCAGTTTATCATATAACCTGGGTGACCTGTATCTGATCAGGTGTGATATCTGGTTTAGCATCTTTGTCCTATTCATCCTCTGGAAGATTCTTGGGATATGGTGATTGGGTGACAGAGACAAGGCACAAGGGATCAGGATGTTTCTACTTGTATCCCATGCTGTACCTTCCCAGCTCAGGAACCCCCTCCCAAGGCTCACCCAATTCTTACCTCATAACCCCTAAGGCTGTAGCGACCCATCCTTAATCCTTCCAGTTCCTTCATTAGTGTTTCTTATGCAGCCTATATTACAGTCTTCCTGAAGCAATTTGTTTCCAATTTGTCTTCTCTGTTAGGCTAGGTTTGGCAAAGGCTCCTGCCTTCCATTTCTAACCTGTGCTAGCCTGAACACTGGAAAATTAATGAAAGTGTTCAATCAGTGGCCAGCCCCAGGTGGTTCTACCTAATTGCTTATTCCTTCTAAAATAAGAAATACTGGCTATGGCACACTTCAGTTTTACCAAGCATGCTTACACAGTCTTTGCACTTGGACATGAGGAAGGGGATGTGCTACAAAGTCCATAAAATATGGACGACCTCAGTAATGAAAAAATAATAATGCTAACGTGGCACATTTCTTCCTTGGAAGCTGTGAGATTTTGAATAATCTCTCCTTTCTTTCTGTGTCATTTTGATTCTCTGTTGTCTACAGTGAACCTGTGCTGTGTGACTAGGGAAAAAAATAAAGATTAGAGAAACAGGCTGCAGGTGAGCCACAATAAAGCAAAAAAGCATTTTATGTTGGGTATAGTGTATACACTTACAATTCCAGCACTAGGAAGCAGACAGAGGCAGGAAGGTCGGCAGACCCAGGCCAGTCTGTGCTACATAATGAGTTTAAGATCAGCCTGGGACCAGGCATGCTGGTGTACCAAGTGGCCAGCCTGGTCTACATAGTGAGTTCCAGGCCAGCTGGCTGGGGCTACAGGGAGATTCTGTCTCAAAAAGACCAAAAACAAAAACCAACAACAACAACAACAAAAAAAAAAACAACCAAAAACCCAAACCCCAAAAAGATCAGCCTGGGATTTGTATCAAGACCCTGACTCAAAACTCCAACCAACCCAATCCGACAAAAAAACACAGCAAAAAGAAAGTTCAAGTTTTTTTTTCCCCTAGGGAGCAGTTTGAGCAATGAGAATCATGTGGGTTTTCCTGAACTGTTTTGCAGTGACAGCCTTCTAAGCGGTGGCCCTAACAAGTGGCCATGGTGGCCCAGTGCACCTTGTGTACTGTCACTTATTGGCCAGTAGAGGGGACCTTGACCAACCACTGAAGGTCGGGTCGTCATGGCAACCGGGCACGCTAACACGGGGTGTCTGCCTGAGGCTGGCTCTCTGGAGAACAGGGGAAGATGGCACAGAATTTGTATGGTCCCCGCGTGCGGATGGGCAACTGGAACGAAGACGTCTACTTGGAGGAGGTGGGCGCTGCCGCGTCGCTGGATCCCAGGCCCTGCGTCCCCCCACCCTGCCTCACCTGTTCCCACCTGCCCCATTTTCGCTCACCTCTCTGAGCCCCCTGCCTCCTCTCAAACAGCCTCGCCTAGTGCTCCCCACCCGACCCTCTTTGGACCCCGGGGGAGCCCAACCTGCCTCTTGGCCCTCGGTCTGGGGTGGAATCACCGTCTTGTCCTTCACTAAAACCTTGCCTCCGTGTTTTCCGGGTGCTCTGAAGGGCTGGTACACTTATTGACGAGGAAGGCCTGGGCTTTCCGCATCCTCACCCCACAGGCAGCGAAACTCTATAGGCAGGGACGGGTGGCTCTGCCAAATGCTACTCCTGATAGACCCTGGCTGGGATACACGTGGACATTTCTTTTTGTTCTCTGCCTTTCTATTTTTCTTAACGTTCTTTGGTGACGGTGACGGCTGAGAGCCGTTATGCCCCTCCCTCAAGATCACAAATGATGCTTGCTGAACAGTCTGACCCCAAAGCTACCAGCACCTGTGCTGCTCAATAGGGCGATCTTGGGCTCATTCTTTTTTCCTTCCGCAGGAGCGCATGAAAGACTTCTTAGAGAAGAGAGATAAGGGGAAACTTCTCATTCAGAGAAACAGAAGGCTGAAAAACAACCTTTTGAGACCGGTAATTTTAAATTCCAATGTTGATTTCAAAATTCAGATTAAGTGTATTAATCAAGGCAAAATTCCATAAATGTTACAATTTTGAAAACATTAAAGTTTTTGGAAAACCTTTTATAAAATTAATGTGAAAAGTACTGTGCTTAAAATTCCTTAAGATTTTAAAAACATAAAGGAAGTCTGCTCTTAATTATGTTTATTTGCATTTTCCAAATAAAGGAATGGATTAATACATGTAAAAGTCATGTGCCTTTTAGTTGGTACGCAAGAAATTTTCAACAAATGTTGATTGAACAAATTAATAATGGAGTCAGCCCATATGGATTCCACCAGCTTGGACTGGCCTTGTTTCGGATCACTGGGAGTTTTCTTGGCAATGTGGAAAGGAAAGGAAAATTCCCAAAGGGTCTGAAGGAGGGCCTTATTGAAAAGGGTATTAGACTGAGAAAAAGATGCACCCAGAAGCTAAGAAATTGAATGTTTTATTTTAAAAATTGCCATTAAAATTGTAGATGCAGCTTTCGGTATCTGAAGATGGATTTGTTCACTATGGCGACCAAGTGATGCTTGTGAATCCTGACCACCCCCCAGGGGAAGAAGCTGGTGTGTTTCTGGATGGAGACATGAGCCTGTGCATGACCCCAGATGAAATTAATGCCCAGCTTCATGATGAATTAGAAGTGCCCTGTGGCCTGAGTGCTGTGCAGACTAAGGTCCCCATAGGGAGAAACACTTTCACAATTTTGAGGTAAAGATGTTTGGTTTGTCAAAGTGTTACAATGTCTGCTTGGACTCAGCTTAACAATGCTTTGAGGGTCGAGATGCCTCACTGGTAAAGTGCTTGTCTTATAAGCACAAGGACCTGAGCTAGATTCTTAGCACCCTCATTTAAAAAAAAAGCCCAATGTGAAGGCACATGCTTCTAATCCCAGCACCAGGGAGGCAGAGACCAGCAGATCTCTGGGCCTTGTTGGCCAGCCAGCCTAGCTTACTTGATGAGTTCTAGGGCAAATGAAACACCCTGCCTAAAATAATAAATAGATGGGCAGCAGTTGAGGAACAATACCACTAGAGGTTGTCTCTGGCCTCTGCTCCCATGTACACACACACATGCATGATTACACACGTGCACATGTACATGAGCACCCCCACATGTGTGCACTGCAAACATGAACACACACACATAAGATGTGCTGGATGGGGGCAGTGATGACTGCAGGCCAAGGTTATGTGAACGTTTTCTGAGGTTTTATTTTGCTTACTTGAGAGTTATTGTTGAGGCCCTTCTGGCCTTAGACAGCAGGATGATTGGCCATTTGTGTTCAATTCAAAATGTTTGCTTCATAATTATCGGGTCCAAGGAATTAAACTCACATTCTGCTTGGAAGCAAACAGAGTTTTCCCTGAGTAACATTTGAGGATGCTTTGAGCTCATGTGAGTACTTTCTTTCCTCTTAATGTTGTTATGTTAGTTTTACAACAAAATATGTCATTTAATAAAAGGTGGTATGAGATGGGTTTGCTCTTTTAAAATATCTACTAAAAATCTATTTGAGGTTTTAAAAATGAGCATTAAAATCCTTAGAGGGCACAAAGACATATCCACAATTCAAACAATTGCTTTCCCTTTGTTGAAGAATGTGTAGCCTGTCTTTTAAGTCCTTCATTCAGTACAGATGACCACTTCTGTTTCCTGGAAGATTAAGAGGAAAGACTGTATTAAATGTCTGCAGAGGTATAACTTAGGCTCTTTCTAAAGATGTCAATGCACATGACCAGTTCTTAGTGTGTGTTAGCATGGTGTGCTTAGTTCACTCTAGTCAAAAGCTCACAAAACCAGGAGGCTCTGGGTCTGGTCGGTGGGGCAGGGAAAGCAATAGTATGTGGGTTATTAGGGCCAAAATGAAAGAATCTTTATAGCCGGGTATGGTGGCTTAGACTTGTAACCAACTCTGGAATTCTCAGGAGGCTGAGGCAGGACAGCTGCTGTGAGTTCTAGGTCAGTGTGGGTTACAACATAGTGGGCTCAAGACCAGCCTTGGCTTCAGTGTGAGACCCTGTCTCAAAAAGCCAAAAAACAAAACCTTGCGTTTTTCTGCATAAATAAATGAGTAGATTAGTACATGCAAAAGTAAAATGCCTTTTAGTGCTCAAGAAATTTTCAATAAATGTTACACAAATGAATAATGGGTTCAACCATGTGATTGTCCTCTGCTTCTTTTTGTCATTATTGGGTTTCTTGAGAGCTTTGCCTTGGCAAACAAACAAAACAGAAAACTTTTGCTTAGTTAACTAACTCAGTACGGTACTTAAAGAAATATGCATTGTCAAGAAAACCCATTGTAGGCAAACTGCCTGCGCTAAGAGCAAAGTCTCAGAATGATTCTAACACAGAACCCTTCTCTCATGTTGCCTCCTCGGACAGTACAGGCAACAACACCAGGGGCCAAGTCCTTAGATATGGGCAGGACTTCTGCCTTGGCATAGTGGGAGGACTGGAAAACAAAATGGTGAGTCTTCTCTTGTCTTGTGGACTGATGTGGATGCTTTTTGATACATTAGTAGATTTTGCTGTATTTATTTTTGTTGCTAGTAGTCCCTCCTCCGTGCTGCTTGACTTTTAACTTGTAGCTGTCATAACATTATATTTCTGAGTAAAACAGATCAGTTTTCCTTTGAAGTTACCCCCCCGCCCCCTTGTGTGTCTGTATTTGCACATGTGTATATGACATCTTTTAGGGGTCAGTTTTTATCTTCACCTTGTTTGAGGCAAAATCTCCCTTGCTTGTGCTGTTTCCCTGTGCCCTCCAGGATAGCTGGCCCATGAATTTATGAGCAAGTCTCCCGTCTGCCTCCCATCTTGCTATAGGAGTGCCAGGGTTACAGGTGTGCGCTACTGCATCCATCTTTTTATCTTGGTTCTGGGATCCAAACTCAGGCCACCAGGCTTGCACGGCAAGTGTTTTACCCAGAGCCATCTCCTCGGTCTCCCTAAGGTTCAGTCTGTTTAGAGATCTGATAAGATAAAAAGAAAGTATTAATTTTTAGATGTTTACATGTTGACAATTTTTGCATTTATTCTTTAATACGCTTGGGATTTATTTTGATTAAAAGGTTTTATACCTGAGTTTTCCCCAAATGTCCCTCAACCGCCTATGTTAGCTCTTGAACAATCATCCTTCTTTATGGACACTCTACTTCCTTAAGCATAGTTTAAATTATGCTATGTGCTGCATATTGTTCCTGCACTTTCTATTTAGATCCATTGAAGTCAGCTATTTTTATTCTAGGACTATAGTATCTTGATTATTGTAATATACTTTGACAGCTCACTGTTTCCCCTATTATCTCCCTTTGTCTGAATTACATTAGGAATTAATCTTTGAGTTAAATGTGATAATTATCTTTTTCAACCTTCTATGCCTTTGCAGAGAAAAGTTGCTTGTGTTTGGTTGGCCTTGTAAAACTGAGTACACTTCCATAGTTAGTAGCTTTACAGTTTGTATTCTTGTGAGGTAGCTCTCAAGGAACTCTCAGGAAAATTTTGGTCAGGGTTTGTGATTTCTTCATGTGGTAGTGACACTGGTCTTGTTATAATTATTTCTTTTGTCTTGAACTTTTGAATATCAGTGCAAGGAGGTTCTTTTGATAGAATAAGGGATAAAATATTTGATAGAGTGGAGACTAGTTTTTCCTGTAAGAAATATAAGAAAACTGGGGCCAATTAGATGTAAAGGTACTTAAAAGCAAGGACAGATAATCTGACTTTCAACCTCAGACCTACAGGGTAGAAGGAGAGACTCAACTCGCAAGCTGTCCTCAGACTGCTACAGGAGTGTTGAGGTACATGTGTGCCTCCCATAAAATAAATATAAAACAAAGGAAAACTTTTAATTTTACATCCACCTTTGATGATATCACTTTAATTTTTCAGTTTTTCAGTTGGTGCTTTTATATCCATTTCATCTTCGCATGGTGACAATCTCTCCTCAAATTCTCTTACCTCTAATTTCTGTGTCTTGTCTTTGAATTAGCAAGTACTTCTAGGACATTCATAAAATCCTGCTGATAGGACCAATAAGATGGTTCAGTGAGTAAAGGCACCCACTGCTGGCCTGGTGACCTGAGTTTGATTCCCAAGACCTGTTGGAAGGAGACAAACAACTCTTGCAAGTTGTCCTCTGACTCCCCATACATGATGCAACACACACACACACACACACACACACACACACACACACACACACACACGCAAATGTAAAAAACAAAATGGAAAAAAGAAGAAAGCCCCTGTTGACTGTGGCCTTGTGGGTTGGCTGCTGGTTCTCTTCTCTTTACCTGAACACAGCGGTTTGTGGTTGAGACAGGTATGGTTGCCTTTTGAAGCCCTGGTTTTCATGTCAGCATTGTCACCCCCATCACAGGGCCCAAGCCCTGGTGTTCCTTGCGCTGTTCCCCTTTCCCACCCACATCCAGCTCACAGTGACTCCCTGTGTGCTCTCTCCCTGGCACACCTTGGCCCATCTTGTCATTCCCCATGCCAGTCACACTCCAGGCCTCAGGTATCTGCCCCATCAATCTGTCCTGACTTCAGACCATCCTAGACAGGGGCTTCTCAGCAGTGGCTCCTCACCACCCTTTGAGCATTTAATGTCCTCTGTAAGATGCCTTCATCCTCTCTAAGTTCCCGGGTTCGGCTCTGGGCACACTGCCTCCTCCTCGGAACTCTTCCCCGGACCTTGAAAGAGCACTGCATCCCCTCTCTACTCTCCATCTCACACTTCACTGCTCTGCCAGACAGCCCTCTCTTTCAGAGCTTTTTGTGTGTTTGTCAGCTTCAGTATAACCAAACACTGAGACAATAAAAAGAGGAAAGGTTTTTGGGGCGCGGTGGAGCACATCTTTAATCCTAGCACTTGGGAGGCAGAGGTAGGTGGATCTCTGTGAGACTGAAGCCAGCCTGATCTATACAGTTAAGTTCCAGGCCAGCTGGGGCTACAGGGAGACCCTGTCTCAAAAAAACAGAAACAAAAAATAAATAAATTTTAAAAAGAAGGTTGATTTTGACTCACAGTTTTGGAAGCTGCAGTCCAGCATCAGTTAATCCCACTGCTTTGGCCTGTGGCAAGGCAACTCTTCGTAGTGGGAGCTTGTAGTCAATCCAGTGAAGCCACTTACATTAAGAGCCAGAGAGGAAAGTGAGCTATCCCACAGCCAGCTTCTGAGGCACACCTCCAGAAATAGAAGATCCACCCACTAGGCCCCACCTCCCAAAATTCTATCAAATCCTGCCAGCTTGGGGATCAGTCCTTTAACACAATGAACAGTCAAAGATGAAAGAACAGCAAATGCTTCTCTCCTCTGGGTAGAAAACGTATTGACGATTATAACTTCTGCCTTCCCCTTCATATACCAAGCCCAGCGTCCCAAATAAAAACCACTTACTAAAAACCCATCAAAAGTCCGAGAAACAACATCCATGTTCAAAGCGAGGGAACCAGGAAAAGAACTAGCAAGGAGAGAATATTTTGGGCTTCTAGAAGGATGGCTGGGGCTGAGGGGAGGGAGCTTTTCAATGTAGCCAGGCAGTTCACATGCATTCCAATGGGAACACAGATTCCAGAAAGTAAGGGTCATCTCATAGTCTCACAGTGAAGACTGGCTCTGATAGCGCTGGGTTGAAGAGTACCTCACCTCAGGCGCCTAGTTTCAGCAGTGTTATTGATGGTGCATAAGGTACTGACCCATATCTTGAAAAAGAGGAGAGCAGGAGATGGGGTGTGGGAAGGAAAAAGGGAGAGGGAGAGAAAGGGAGGGAGGGAGAGAAAGATCTGGCATATCATTTCATTTCTTAGGCAGAGAGGAGCTGAGCTTTCTCACGGGATGGGAAGGAACAGGGTTCTGGAAACTGCTTTTGTACTTTCTTGGTGGCTCCTTTCCCCAGTTCTTCTGGTAGCTGTGACTCAGTTCATGTGCTTGTTGCCGTTTCCAGTTATATTTATCAAGCGACCACAGGACCCTTCTGAAGTCCTCTAAGAAGTCTTGCCTCCAGGAGGTGACCCTGATAGATGAGACCTCCCACCTGAACTGCTGGCAAGCTGCTTTCCTGGATCCCCAGCTGCGCCTGGAATATGAAGGCCTCCCGGTCAGGGTGAGTCTGCCACCTGGGAGACTGGGGCCTGGGGTCTGTGAAAGGAAGGGTCATGGTCCACACCTGTCTATGAAGTAGAAGCTTACCATGGGCCCAGTAGCTTGTGAACTTTCTCCTTTTCTTTCATTTATAACTCAAATGTGGAGAGCGCTAGTTTGTTTTGTGGCAGAATTCTGCATTCCTGTCTGTCAACCTTGGCTGCAGATTAGAATCACCCCAGAGTTCTGCAAAAGACCCTAGGGCTCTTACTCCAACATAGGCAGGCTGTGAGCTCAGTGTGAGATCCCAGCATGCAACATGGCTTCTCAGCTTTGTCTGTCCAGGCCTCACTTAGGTCTGCCTCCCTCCTTTCTTTCCTTCCTTTCCTGTACCCTCTCTCCTCAAACTCCCTTCCTTCTTCCCTCACCTTCCTCTCAAATCTTCCATTTCTTCTACTCCCCCCTCCCCCTCTTTTCTCTCTTCCTCTCTCCTTTATGCCCTTCCTTTCCTTCTAATGCCCCTCCACTCCCCTCCCCTCTCTTCTCCTTTCTTTCTCACTCTATAGCCCAGGCTGGCCTGGAACTCTACATCCTCCTGTGTATATCTGTGTACCTGGCTTAAGTTCTCATTTCTAAAGATCCTGGGAAGTTTGAGGGAAGGGAAGGAGCAGCAAGCAAACACTCAACGCAGGCCCAGTCTGTGATCACTTTTGTCTCAGACCATGGGCCAAGTGGGATGGGAGTCTGAGGTGTCATCCTCTCCAGAGGTCCCTGGGTACAAACCGGGCTCATTGCTTCTCAAATCCAAGCCTTTCCTACACAAAGCACGAGGTATCTGCCACATGGGCGTGTGTATGTGTGTATGTGTATGTCTTGTTGGAAGTCACTAGAAGCATGTGGTATTAGTGGTTTTATAGGATTTGCATGCCCTGCCCACTGTCCAGGGAGGGGTTGCAGTCACAAGTCACCCCGAATCTGTTCTACACAGTGGGCCTGTCTCTTCAGAGCTCTGGCAGGGGACCCCAGCTTCCTGAGGTCCTTACTGAGTTTCCCAGGGTAGAGGATGTTTGCCTTATCCATAAGGAAACTGGCTTGGTGATCTTCCCTGCAGCCATTTGTTGCCAAGCTTGGCCCTCCTAGGAAAGTGGGTGTGGCTTTCATTTTCTCTGGTCAGCACCCCTGTAAGTTAGAGGTGTTCATGATACCTCCTTGGGGGCTCTGTGAGGGCCCAAAGCTTAGCTTACATGAGCCACAGCCAAGTGGCAGAAAGCTTGCTGAGATGCTCATTGTGATTGGTGGCAGTGACTGTACAGACGAAGGGGCAGCAGTGTGGGCACAGAAATTCTTTCTTCACTGCTGACTCTCCTTGTGGTCCAGGCAGACCTCTGAACCTCACTCATGCAAGCTTGCACGTCTGCCAAATGGAGACTCTAGACCTGTCTGAACTACCTTGCATATGCCAGACTCCAACTGTACCCAGGGTTCATCCAGGTGGAAACATCAGCTGTTGAGGAGAGGGCTAATGTGTATAGGAAAGTGGGGTGCCTTAAACAAAGGCTGTGGGGAAGGATGCTGAGAGGATTTGGTTGGGTGGGTTTAGGGGCAGTTTTGGTAGAGGGGCATTGCTGAACTTGGAAGCTGACAGGAAACAGAGGGCGATCTTATGACTAAGCATGTCACCAACTCCTGTTTTGAGGGAGGGCAGACAGGAGCCAGACTGAGGCTGATGGTAAAGAAGGGTAGTCATGCCTGTCAGCTGGGACAGCTGCATGATGGGGGTTTTCTGGCTTGGTCAGTGTTGATGTTTTGACTGTGACTAGGGTGCTTGGCATCCGGTCCACACCAATCATGATCACAGTGGCCTTGTGTGATTGTGAGTGTTCTGTGAAATGGATTCTGTTCACCAGGAGGGTGATAGGACACAACTGTGGGTACAGCCATGGGCACCAGGCCAGCTCACACACCAGGGACTGCCTTCTCCTCTGACAGTGCCCAGTTTACATGAACTAGGATTTTTAAGATAATGTTTATTTGACCAGGTATGGTGGCTCACATCTCTAATATCAACTCTCAGGAAGCTGAGGCAAGAGGATCCTGAATTCTAGGTCAGCCTGGGGATGTATAGCAAGGTCTTGTCTCAGAAAAGTTGTTTCTTTCTGATTATAAACATAATATATATTCATATATGGAGTCAGAAAAGTAAAATATTAAAATTACCAGTAACAGTTTCATCTCCCAGAGACAACCACTGTTATTTACTATCATTTCTATGCATATATATGTATATAATATATTTTAATAGGACATGATGAAGGCCTAGGGAGATGGCTCAGTGAATAGAGTTCCTGCTGCATAAATACAAGGACCTGAGTTAGGATTCCAGCACCCACATAAAAGCAGGCTTGGCAGTATGTACCTATAACCCCAGGGTTGGGGAAGTAGAGACAGGAGGCTCTCTAAGGCTTGATGGCCAGTCAGCCTATCTGATCTGTGAGCTCCAGGTTCAGTGAGATATCTTGTCTCAAAGAACAAGGTGGAGTGTGATGGAGGGAAATACCCATCCCCTCTGGTCTCCACATGCACACTTATACATGCACACATACACACACATATGCATATACGCACACATGTGTACACATCCATACAAACATGTACATATACCACACAAATAGGACATTGTAAATCTATATATTTACTTAATAACATTATGAGCTATATCTCATGTTGTCAAAAATCTTCTCCAATATGACTTCAATTGATTATTCTACCATAGGGATCTCTACCATGATATATTTCATCAAACCCATCATGGTTTGGTTTCTAAGCTAGTCCATGTATTTATTATATACACACATGCACACACAAACACAGACAAAAACATATATATGTATATATATATACTTTGAAATGAATATATTGAAATATTTTTAGAGTTTGCTTTTAGATACTAATAGGTGCTTTCTTTTTTTATCCTCTAAAGGCAAATGAAAAACTTATCATCTATCATCGACACACAAACCGGGCCCTGGTGGTCCATCGGCATCTCTTCTTAAGGTATTGTACTGTTGCAAAGTGCCATGGCAGGTTGAAGTTCATGCATATAAGCAGAGACGCTGAATTTAAAGTCTGTCCAGACAGGAAGAAAAGGTCCTTTGGTGCTGAAATGTTGTCATGTTGAATTTTGATGCCGAAGTCTTGTTAGAGTCCCTTTGCTATTTAATAATGGACTCCCCCAGGGGAGGATTTTTTCTATAAAGGGACCTTACCTGCCCAGTCCTAGGCAAACAGTGTAGAGCATTCCTGTAAACACATCACATTTCAGGGACCCTGGAGGGCTTCATAGAACAGTTGGCTTCATGAGGTGCTTTCTAGGTGAGATGCATTCTTTTGGAGCGGTGTCACTCAATTTCCAACTAGAATCCTTTCTTTTTGCCTCAGGACCTATTTTGGAAAGGAAGTTGAAGTTGCAGCTCACACACATCTGGATTCACACAGAGCTGAAAAACCCAAGAACCACTGGATGCTGGTTACTGGAAATCCCAGGAGCAACTCGTCTACCATGTTGGATATACCTAAACCACCGGCAGAGGACACTCGTGCTGTGGAGCAGGCCATGGGTATCAGCATGTAGTGACACCCTAGACACGCATGTGTTCTCTCAGGGCCTGTTATCATCAATTGTAGCTTTTTAAAGAAATTAACAGTATTGGTTGTGCTTCAAGTTGTTTTCAGTAGGGTCTAGAACTCTCTGAATATTATATTAAAACAAAGACCATGTTGAAATTATTGACTTAGTGATGAAGGCCTAGCTGTGGGAAGCAAATAACATTTGAAAATGAATACTATTTGAAGTGAGATCACCCCTGTTGTATCCAAATTTTGAAGAACTTGGTGTCCCCCACATAGATTTCTTTTAGTAGTAGGAACCCTCAAGACCCGTGTTCCTTTCTAAAGCTATGTCTACATAATAAAGCTGCCAGAAGCATGCAGATGTTTCAGCACTGCTGTTTCTCCCTCATTCCTCTCCCATATGTGCTCTGAGCTATGTATGGCCTTGCCTTGGAATTAAAATCCCCCGTCCCTTACAAAACATCTTATTTTTCTTTCAATCTCAGTCTTGGGAGGCCAGGTCCCCTATTTAATCAGTGATTTATGATCTTATGATGACTTTCAAACCACAGAAACCTTTTATTTCCAGCTAATCTTAGAAACTGACCCATTCATTATGTCATACACGTGATTAGAAAGATCCTGACAGAATAAATGTGTATCCATCCTTCCATTTATTTGTTCAGCTATTCATTCTGCCTTTGATATATATAAGATTTCATGACAGAACAAATGGCCTGAGGCTCTAGCCTTGTAGGTGCAAGTAAGACACAAGGCTGGCTCCAAAGAAGCATGCTGAGAGGCAGGAAGTAGGTGACAGCAGGTTCTAAGTAGAATAACTTAGCCTAAGCAGACTTCACGAGCAGGCATTGCCACCAAGTGCTGAGAGTTTCAGGGCTGAAGATATAGCCTTGGCTATGTGTTGGGGTCACCCTGGAGAAGAGCAACAGTTAATGTCAGCCCAGTCAGAAATCCTGCTTCAAGTCAGGGTGCAGTTTGTGTGTTGGGTTTTGTTCCTCTGATGGTCCATGTGCTATGAGTGCTGTGAAGGGGAACCCATAGCTTTAGGGGATGGAGAATAAGTAGCAGTTTCTCAGAGTGGCCAGAGAAGGTTTTCCTCAGTGGGTGCCAACCTGGCTATGCACTGGAGCTTCTGAAGACTGTTTGGAAGACCCAGTGCCCAGGATATACTTCACACCATCAAATCAGAGCTTCCAGGTAGGGCTTTAAGGATGCAGATGCTTGGACCCATCTCCAGAGAGTCTCATTTAGTTTATTTAGAGAAACCCCAGGATCAGTATTTTGGAAAAACCTGCTAATTTGTTTTAGGGTAGTTCCTGGATAGAGAGCCGTTGTCCTGGAAGAGGAAGGTCAAGTATGTTTGTGGGTCTCCAAGGACAAAGCCGGACTGGTAGAGCTGGGCCACCTGCCCATCTGGGGAAGACATTCTATAATAGCCAGAGTCATCAGCAAGCATAGCAACCAGTTCTGGGTCATTCTCATTCCCACCACGAGAGGAGCTCAACACCCACCATGAGCTCATTCTCACTATCTACCATGGGCTCATTTTCAACACCTATCACAGGTTCATTCTCAACACCGACCATGGGCTCATCTCAATACTTACTAGGGGATCATTCTCAACACTTACCACGAGTTCTTTCTAGATGTCTACCATGGGCTCATTCTCAACACCTACCATGGCTCATTCTCAATATCTATCATGAGCCCATTCTTCTCACCCCATGACACCATTCTCAATACCTATTTTTCTAGGTTCATTCTATTGCTGTAACAGATGCCCTAACTGAAAGCAACTTCAGTGGGAAAAATGGTTTATTTGGCTTACAATCCCAGGTCATAGTGATTGTTGAGGGAACTCAAGGCAGGAACTTGAAGGCGGGCCTGCTTACACGCATTACCTCTGACCAAGGAACTCACTTCACACCCAAAGAAGTACTGCAGGAACAGTGAAGAATGCTGCTTGCTAGCTGACTCTAGGCAGGCTTACACTCATGTAGCTAGCTTTCTTAGACATTTTAAGACCACCTGCCTAGGGATGGTACCACCCACATAAGACTGGGTCCGCCTACATCTATTAACAAACATAGCAATCCTCCACAGACATACCACAGGGCAATCTGATCTAGGAAATTCCTCACTTAAGGCCCTCCTCTCAGATGACTTCAGACTGTGTCAAGTTGACAGTTAAAGCTAACCAGGACGCCTACCATGAGGTCATTCTTATCATAAGGGTGTCCTTAATACCATAAGAAAAACTTTCAAACAATGTCTTTCCTGCAAGATAAAATGCAAATTCAAATTTAATCACTTGATACACAAAGCCAAGAGAAATACTCAGCCTGAAAGCAGTTGCTATATCCAACATACAGCAGGCCTGGAGAGATGGCTCAGTGGTCAAGAGCACTGACTGCTCTCACAGATGACTCAGGTTCTATTCCCATCCACCACATGGCTGCTAATTACTGTCTGTTACTCAGGTTCCAGGGGATCTAGTGCCCTTTTCTGGCCTCTGTAGGCATTGCAAACATGTGGTACACTCATATGCATTCAGGCAAAACACTCATACACACAAAATAAAAACAATAACATTATAAACAATATACAGCACTAGAGTAGCCTAGAGCAGACCTGTCCTGTCCTCTTCATGGTGTCTGACACGCCTTTGGTTGTCACAAGTGGAGTAGTGTTACTATCCTTCAGTGCATGGAAACCAGAAATGCTGCCATGCATACGAGAATTACAGGGTTCCAAACAATCAGGGTTGCTGAATGTAAGAACTGTTGATGTAGAAGGAGCATCTAGAAGGAAAGCCCAGTTCTGCTGTTTGAAGCTGTCTGACCTCAGCAGGTAATTACCTCTCCAAGCTTATTTGCTGCATCCTTTGTAATGAGCTCATTCATTCATTGATTCATTCAATGAGCTATTTCTCAGGAAACGATGATACATTGATGAATAATGTCTGATACATAACACCAGAGAGTGGTGACAATTAAAAGGGTAAAGACCTTTTATAATGTTGCAAGGTGTTCAACAGAGGACACTGAGGTATAGGTGATGTGGATAACAAGCTCTCCCACTCCAGTTACTGAATACATTCTAACTATTATGAGATGCACGGAGTTGTTTGTATACTTTTTCCAGTTCTGGGGACCAAACCTAGGACCTTATGCCTGCAGCTCTATTACTGAGCTGTATCTCCATCCCAGAGTTTTCTTTTCCGTATGTATGTAATGTGTGTATGATGTGTGTGTATATGTGTATTTGATGCATGTGTGATATGAGTGCCTGTTCATGTGTGTAAGTGCAGGGCTGTACATGCCATGGAGCAGGTATGGTGGTCAGAGGACAACCTCGGGTGTCAGTGCTTACCTTCCACCTCCGAGTCCCTCTTTTCTTGTTCACTGCTGCATACACCAGACTGCATGGCCCGTGAACTCTCAGAGATTCTCCTGTCTCCACCTCCCATCTTGGCATAAAAGCACTGGGGTTGCAGACACGAGTTAATCAAGACTGACATTTATATAAGTGTTGAAGATTTGAACCCAGGACCTCACACCTGTGAAGTAAGCACTTTACCAACTGAACTATTTCCTCAACTCATTTTTAAAAATTTTAACCTGTGTGCTTTACAGTTCTGGCTCTGCTACCACCAGCCAGGTAGCAGTCATGCCATAGTTGTCAATGGATACAGATGTACAAACTTGGATGGTGGCAATAATTTCTAATGGTGGAATTAAAAGCCCTTGGTGGTTCAGTCAACAAAACTTTGGAGAATCCAGTGAGGCAGGACACAGTGGGTACTCTGTGTGGTAAGCACCACCCTGGAGCTCATCTCTATCATTATTATCTTCTGGTCTCAGCTTCTTTTCTACATGCAATGGCCCTTTTCATGCTCAGTCAAATCAGTGGTCTTCCTGGAGTACTTTCTACCTGGTTGGTTGTTGAGGAACCAGAGGGTATAAACATGCTCCTTTCTGCAGGGCTCCTGCAGGGGAGATGGTGCTCAGGAGATGAACATAGTCCATTCTTATTGGAGGAAGAAACAAAATCCAGCAAAAGCTGAAATCAAAGAGGGTGAGAAGGAAGATGAGACACTGACAAGGTGCCATGGCCACAGTATGAAAATCTGTACTTACTAGTGCAGGCCATAGGGAGCCACAGGAGGGAGGAGCAGAAGAGGGAAAGCATGAAGAAGGGAGGCTAAGCCTGGAGGGAGGAAGGGAGGAGTTGCAAGGTCAGTTGAAGGAGGTTGTTGTGACTCAGATCACAGCTGTGTAGTCTGAAGAAGAGAGCTGAGCTGGCACTCTGATGCATCTCTGCAGACTATTTCTTATTCCTAAACCTTCACCAAAGTAAAAAATAGAAATATCTTGTTTTTGAGACAAGGTCTCCTTGTAGCCCCAGCTGGCCTGGAACTCACTATGTAGACCAGGCTGGCCTCGATCTCACAAAGATTTGCCTGCTTCTGCCTCCTGAGTGCTGGAATTAAAGGCACACGCCATCATGCCTGGATTGAAATATCTTTTTTTTCCCCCACTAGTAAATTCACTCATTTGGAGCTTTATAAAAGGAATGACCATTTAGAATCATTTATATATTGGATGATAGCACAATACAAACTCATTTATCGAGGACATTTGACCAATGCTGTGCCTAACTGAGTTACCGGACTCTAGTTCTAAGGGGAAACCCTGTTGTGAGGCAGACAATTGACTAATAGATTAACTCTTCAAATGAAAAGGAAAACTTTTCTAAAAATGAACCTTCCATATGACCTGGTTATATCACTCCTTCGCATATACCCAAAGGATTCATCCTATTGCTTAGACACTTGTACAACCATGTTTGTTGCTGCTCTTTTCACAATAGCTAAGAGATGGAAGCAACCTAAGTGTCCATCAACTGATGAGTGATTAACAAAAATGTGGTAGATTTAAACAGTGGAGTTCTACCTAGCAGTAAAGAAAGATCAAATAATGAAATTTGCAGGTGAATGGATGGATCTAGAAACTATTATACTAAGTGAAGTAACATAGACTCAGAAAAACAAGACATAATGTCCTCCCTCATTTGTGGATATTAGCACCAAATCTTTATAATATGAATCCCACTGAAATGAGCCAACAGCCCATGGAAAACATGATTTTGAGACCCTGAAAGTTCAGTGCCTTGCCACAGTGGGAGGATGATGACCCCACACCTATCACCCCCTCCAAGGCTCAGGGACTTTTGCAGAACAGGTTGGCGGAAAGAATGTAAGAGCAGGAGGAAGGGGTGGAGTGTTAAGCAGAAGTGTCCTCTGACCACTATGCCAGGAAGCTATAGTCACACCTCCTTCCCATGCTCATTAAGGAGTTGATGGGGGAGTCAGTTACCCCTCCCACCCAATCAGATGACCTTAGCTGCATGTGGGGGAGGGGCTAAGGATATATAAGTGGAGAATGCCATTAGGCACCTCTCTTGCCACTTTGTGTGGCTGTCAGGAAGTCACAGGACGTATATTTGAATGTCAACTTTCCAGTGCAGCTGTAAATGGGGGGTGGGGACACTCTTCTGTAAATAAACCCCCACCCTATGCTCTGTCAGCAAGCCCAATAAGCTTGTTAGGATTTTTATTT